AAGATGATTGAGATAAAAGACTGCCAAATTAGCGAAATGCTAAAAAAATATGCAGATCAGGAGGATCGAAACGATCAAACTACATGTTCATCCCAGAAATCCAACGAACAATTATCACAATATATTTAAATTCTATTGGCGAAAATAGAATTGGAAATGTGGAAAATAATGGTGATGGTGACTATCATGTGATGGATGTTGAAGCGAACGGAAGCAGGTTTGCAGTTTTTCTCAGTTCAGTGTTCCTTTCTTCCTAGGCCATTGACTGTCACTGCTACATTTGCTTTTTTTACTCTTTTTTTGTGTGTGTGTGTACCCTAGGATAAAGGTCTCCATTGAGCCGTTGCCACATCATTCGAAGATGATATGGTGGCTGATTTTTCCTCCTCATTGCATAACCTGCAAATGGAAACACGATGATTGTGCTCATGTTATGTAGTTTTCTCAGATGCCAGTGACGGGTACTCAGATTCTGGCCCTCTCCAATGACAGCAGTGAGTTTGCTAAGGTGGAGCTGCTGCTACTTGGTTAGGGTTGTTTTAGCATACGTTAGCTATACTACGGGAGTATAGCACCCATAGAGTGAATCAACTTCCCTTTTTGTTTTGTTTTTGGATCTATTCTACGATGGAGGATTCTGCATTTGTTTTTGTTTTCCCAAGTATACGTTCAGGACTGATATGTGGTCTTGCAGATCCTCCTCTGGCCAATTTACTTTTATTTTTCGTTACTCAGAATTCCTTTGTGTCCTGAGGCTTTTTAGATGGCCCGGCTTTATTTCTCTTGAACAATGACGCTATCAGAAAAAAATATATGCTTAATATTTTGTAGTCTACTTTCAAATTTTTAGCTTTTTTGGGGAAAAATTATAAAGGGTAACTCAGGCCAGTTCAACTTCAAAATTTCATATATATTCTGATACAACATTTAAAGGATTTTTTATGCTGAAAACAATGGTGCAATCAGATTTTAAATTGGTCAAAAAAGTCAAAGTTATGACAAAAAGTTCTCAATTGTATCAACAGTACCTATTTGTTACATTGAGTACTCCATTTAAAATGAACCGAAGAGCACATTTTACCAATCAACAGCGAGTTGATATGTACAACTGTTTTATCGATAATGGTGGTATTGCGCGTGGGTTGGCAAGTCACCCCAGAAGGAGGTGGATGGAAAGACCAGAAAGAAGATGGAAACGACCAAGCGTCATCATCCCACAAATCTCAAGAATCACAGAATAAATTATATTGGTGTAAAAATATTAACAAATATAAAACACACTAGGTCTAAAATTGTGGCTAATATACTTTTTATTCTAGATTTTAAAATAAAACTTGATAAATTGACTTTTAATATTCGAACTTGCTGTTCGAAACTAGAACTGTTGAAAAAATTATTCATAGAAAAAGAACTAATGTCGTAGTTTAACTATGAAAATCTAGTAGTTAATATCAACTGTCCTGATCTCATCTTTGCCTAATTTATTTAGCTCTAATTCCCATTAAAGTGAAATGGCATCAGATAATTGCTATATTTGTTGGGAGAAAAAATCTTAAATCTATTAATACGTCTATTTTTCCATGATGTCGAAACCTTTTGAATATTTTGGATGGCATTAAAATGCAAAAACTGTTGCCTTCAATTGCGAACCCTAATAATCCGTTTGAATTATAACAATACGTAACCGGGCTCGTTAATAATCGGCCTTACAATGGCCGTAAACAGGCAAAGTGAATATTAAATAGAATTTTATTACTATTAAAACAGTCACGTGCTAATAACGGACTAATTTACGACCGTGGGAGCCTTTCTGTCAGTCTTTTGCTCTCTGGTAAAGGTCGATAATTGTAGTGGATTAATGGTAAGGATTAAAGATTCCACCGATGGAAAGGTACAATTAAACTCTGGTGTCGGGGGATCATTAATGTAACCAATGATGCTAATTCTGTTTCTTTCAACCGGTGAGTGTTGTCGGCAATGGAAATGGTAGTTCTTCGTGTGACCAGGTGATGAGGAGAGCACGGTCTTGCTGTTCTTGCTTTCCGTATGATTCACGATTTTTTTCTGGTCCTTCTTTCATTTGACGTGAAATGAATTAATTATCAACCCTGAGGAATGTACTTTACTCTCCTCCTAACGTAGATATGGACATTGTTTTTCCGAGGTATAACCAGGCAAGACAGGCAAGGCAAGAAAGAGAACAGGAACAAAACAATTGATCGTCGTAAAAAATTGCCCGATTATAAATGAACCATTTATCTCGCATCGTCTATTTCTTTCGCTCTATTTTTAAAAAGTGAGAGTTGCTTGGAGAGGATCTCTCGTCTAGGCGGCTTCTTATAGCTGTTCGGAGTAGGTATTTATCAATAGTTGAACACATCGACTAATCGTTCTCTTCACCAGTAAATTCTTCTCGTTTAAAGGCATCTATGCTTTTTCCAAGTCTTCTATCTTGTTCTAGAACTAGGAATTAGTGTTAACTGCCAATGCTTACTGAGTGCTTTATTATTGATTTATTTCTGTGATTTAAAGTTGCTGACCGCGGTAATAATGCTCCGACCATTACTAGGTTTTTTTTATGATTTTACCGTCACCTTGCATGTCGTCTGGGATGCAATCTATTGTTCTAGCATCTGACCTCTTGCTAATTAAAATTTATAGGGGGTTATTGCGCAAATTTTCTTTTGACATCCCATTTATTCAATTGGATCAGTATTCAAGAAATTGAAAATTCGAGAATTGTTTTTCTGTTGACTTGGAAGATATAGGTGACAAATTATAATAAAGGTGAGTTTCAGTATGAATAAATTCAGTGTCAACTTTCATTTCTGTAATATTCAATTTTTTTAAATTGGAAAATTCTCTCTTGAGGTCTGCAGGGCGATTTACCTGTCATTTTCTACCATTATGGTCTTCCTATCATTGTTAATTTGGTCTTCCAGACACGTTCGGCATTTGGCGGTGTCTTGTATTTATCACCCAGCTTATACCCTGACCTACCAGTAAAGATGGCGAATCGCCAAATCGCTTCTCCTTTTCCATGTTGATGAAGGTCAGAAGAAACCGTAGTTTGTTTGAACTTTGTTTTTGAAGACGACGAATCTGTACGATCCAGGTGTAATTCAACCTATTTGAAAGGTTGCTGCTCGAGGACGTTTCCTCCTCTCAATTTGACTTCTCTCTGTTCTGTTTTATCTAATTTTACGTGAAACAAGACATTTGGCTTATAGAAATTTATACATCCTTCATTTCATACCAGTGGATTGCTCCATCAGTAAACGACTGTACGTTATAATTCAATGTACTTATTTGTACATCTATCAGTAAATAACAAAAACCAACTTCGTCTTCTTTTATTGGTTTTCGTTCATGAAACAGTTTTAGGTTTGCGGATTTATTGTTGAGCTAATGAGCCGTTTGTACTACATCAATGAGGTAAACAGTGGGAAGCATTGGGCTCCTTCAGATACGGGCCACAGCTTATTATCTATAGTAAAAAATGTGTTTTCTCGTCAGATGGTATTTACCATGCTTGTAGTAATGTGTTTTGAGGTTTTCCTCCTCTTCTCGACAAGTCTCCGAAAATTGATCTGGTCACCAGACCTACAATAATCCTAAATTTGCCGGGAATGATGTGAATCCCTACACAAGATTTAAAAGACAATTAAGAAGACTTGGACATCCTCGAAGTCACCTCGGACCGTAATCTGACTTGTCCGTCAAAACTAAACTAACCTTATACAAGACTTTATTACGACCACTTTGGACTTAAGGAGTGGAATTGTGGGGTTGTGCTAAGCCATCTTCATCCAGCCATCATCCAGTGTATCCAATCCTTCCAAACAAAAGTCCTCAGACAGATCGTCAAAACTCCTTAATACGTCACTAATCCTCACTATCCACAACAACCTCAAAATTCCTTTTGTCAACGATCTTATTCCTTCCCGTATGCCAAAAGTTTCACACGAACCTCTTGATCCATCCTAACCATACGTCTCGACTCCTCTCTGCACATTCCCAACAATGGACGATGGTCACAAGACCTCCATGCCTTTATCCCTCACACTGAGAGGGTTTTATAGTCACATTTGTAACATGTACGATATGAATAGGATACAAGTAAAATAATTTTTTTTTAAAGTTTGTCGGGTTTGTTGCATCAGATTTAAGTTTAGACGAGAGTTTCTTTCACCAGTTATGGGTTTTTTCTTTGATCTACTCTGCGTTTACTTCTTTTTTGTGGCAGTTCGAATTAAAATTTTGAAATAATTGGGTATTGATAGTATTGCCGTGGCACCCTCCGACGTTGGTTTGTCAGCCCTTTTGGTCCTGTCTAATAGTCCTGGTACCCAGAGTAAAGACAATTGTTTTCTGTATCTGTTTATCTAAATTTATTCACTTGTTCCATGCTGGAAATAAATGTAAGATTCAATTGAGCCACTTCTTTAAAAAAAAAAAAAAAGGAATTTAGAATTTTTATGAAGACCTTCGATGTTTTTGCTCTTTAGTTTCTTTCTTCTTCGAGTAGTTATAGCATTAATTGATTGATATTGTAACTGTTCGTCATCCTTTGCCCTAACTCAAGAGTCGTTTGTCAGTTTTTCGAGCCCCTCTCGGATTGCCAGTTGGCGCTTGGATCCGGATGAATTACGATGTCTAGTCTTTCACCTCGTGGGGCTTCGCAACCATTCGCTTTTTCGTCTGTAAAAGGCCTGCTGTTTGAAATTAATACTCCGTGATTCGTCTCATCCCATTAAACGGAGAGAAAACAAAGTGATAGATTTCCAGCCGATTGCTCTTGCGATGCCTCCGTGACTGGTTTTAAGGGGCCATTTGTCTCGATTGGGTGATCGACATTAGAACCGCCTCGGGCGACGTGGCCCCACCAATATAAAACCGTGACTACTTGCTATTTGATTAACTGCCGGCTTCAATGCTCAACACACCCGTCGTTAAACAAATCGAGTTACGTTTTAACTGTGTTTTCACTTCGGTTTCAGATTCCTCTTTAATCACGCCCAAAGATATTTGGTCCATCGAGAACGTCTGGAAAGGATCGCCGACCCTCCTGCAGATCAACTCAGTCTGGAGGAGCGAAAACAACACTGGGTAAGTGCATTTACAAAAAAAATTTATTTAACATACATCACTGGCCAATAAATAATTGCATGTTTGTACAGATTTCAAAATATACCAGGAAATAACTTTTTGAATGAATACAATTACATAACAATTGGGCTGTAAAGAAAAAGACCGTTTTGTTTTGTTTTTTTCAAGACAAATTAATATTTAATTTGATTGTTACAGACCATTGTGGTCAATCCACGTTGTGTTGGTCTGAAAGACGCGTCTGACCAATGATGAAAAAATTGTTCGGTAACTACCAAATTACAAGTCCATCACCGCACATACCACACGGAGAAATCTCACAACAAAATTAATATGTTTATGTATTTATTTAATATAAAATATAGCCTTTTTAGTTCGCTGTCATTAGCTATCTTTCAGCTAGTTGCTTCATCCGACGTGGTACCACGACTTAAGATAGATATCGATTTGTTTCAATTGTTTTCCCTTTGACACGTCAGGGATCAGATCATGTAATAATCGTCCGGAACTAGATCTTGACTATAAGATGGGTGTGGCGTGAGTTCGATAACATCTTGTCCTTAGTCCGAAGTCTGCGGCCAAGTAGCTGGAACAGATCTTTTCCATTAACCAACCGTAACGCTGTGACAATTCGCGTACATTCTTTGAGTGGAGTTCAAAGTTCATAGAACATCCATCAGCAATAAACTCTTGGTCAATAACTCCTTCATAGTTACAAAAAAAGGCCCAGTGTGGATTTTTTTCACACAGTTCCCATGCAATAACTGGAAAAGCCGTTTTCCCACGTTAAAGTTATTTTACACGGTTATCAGGCTTTTATCAGCACATTTTTTCAATTTAAATTATTTATTAAAACTGGTCTTATTATGCCTAATATTAATTTTACAACGATATATATATATATATATATAGAATAAATAAATGTTTACATTATTATAAACCTACAATAAGAGTTACACTTCACTATTCACGAAATTTTGAACTACACTAAACATTTAGCTTTGTTTTTTAACCTTTTGACAGTATATTGATTATGTAGGAGTTTGGTCGCTTCCACATTCCCACGCCTCCACATTGGTTGAGGCGAGACTGGCGTTTGGCGGCAAATCTTTGTCATCTCAGGGATCTTAAGAACCCTATGTAACTCCTCATTCATTACGTAAGATTTTATTTTGGAGTGTTTGTATATGTTTGATATTGCTGTAAACCCCATAATAAAAAATAACCTATGGATCTGGTGGAGCAAAGCTCAACGAAAAGTAGCTACTCAATCAATAGGAGCTTACAAAGACTAGCAAACTTATGTATCACAGGAGCAATGAGAACAATCCCTACAAATGCACTGGAAACATTTATACAAGAAGAGGCTAGTAAAAGCTCATTTAGGCTCCAAAAACAATCAAATTGGATAGGAACTTAAAGCCATAATTAACAAAATCAGACTGCCATTCTAATAAATGGGGACTGACTATATGATCCCGGAAAGATTCTTTACAACTTTCTATAAAGTCCCAACGGACTATAACGGAGAGGGAGAACACAGGAGAGTATCAGATACAATGATATGGAATACAGTTGGTAACAAAACAAACGTTCCCGCATTTTCTGTACAAGCCCAAAACGAGCAATCAAACTCATTAGGGAAATATACTTCGTTCTTTCAAGCAGAAATACATGCCGTCAACGCGTGTGCCCGGGAAAATCGTAAAAGAGGGTACACTGGCAAAAAAAAAACTTCATAAAATCTGATAGCCAAGCAGCCATTAAAGCATTAGCATGTAAACACCGGAAAATGCATCAACCTGATGATATCTTGGGTGTCAGGGCACAAAGGAATTTTGGGTAACGAGAAAGCAGACAGACTGGTCAAAGGAGGATCTGCAAGGCATACATAGGCCCCGAAAATTCTCTTGGGATAGCAAAAACAAATATAGAATCCTCCATCTCAGAATGGATCCAAACAAAACAAAAAGAGAAGTGGATAAACTCTAGCGGCGCTAGACACAGTAAATTTACAATGAAACAACCTTCTCCAAGACGGGCAAAATCACTGCTGCATTTGGAGAGAGCTAAACTCAGAGGAGTGGTAGGACTACTAACCCGACACTAGCATTAGAGAAAATACCTATACAACAGGGGCGTATATAACGATGATCCCATCTGCAGATTATGTAATAAGGAGGAAACACCCACCCATATCACCTTCGAATGCGAAGCAACAGATCAAAGGAGATTCATCCTAACATACGAAAAAATTTAGGGAATGGAGTCTATTCCACTGCACTAAAGAACTAGGATGGTACTCAAAGCTAGAAGGCTGCAGGCTTGGGTAGCACAGACCCCGCTTCCTAGTATCCTTATTGACATACCATACCGTACCATACAACCCCATAGTTGAATACCATATGTCCACATTTGGTTTAGGACTTGTCTGCATAACAATATTTTATTTTGTATAGCATGGTTGGAGCCATGTCCTCGCAACCAGTGTAGTTGTCTATACCTTAAACCTACATCTGTCATTTTTTTTTCTTCATGTGCTCTTTTCAACTCAGCCTGGCATCTAAGGTCATTACCAGATATTCAGTTGTATTGCTGTATTGTATAATCAGCTACTCAAACATGAACAGGGGCTGGGATTTACACTCGAGTACGAACTAGGCTTGACATTGCTCAAGGCAACCGCAGTCCATAATATCCAAGAAATCATCGAGGAAGCCATCCCTCAAACCAGAGATCTCATCGGCAGGGATTCCTTCTTTCCCCATTTTGCACTCCCCAAACCTCAATCCCATTGAGCAGATTGGGATGCGTTGCAGAGAAGGCTTTTCGATCACCATCAGCAGCTAGTTGATCTTCAACAACTGAATGCCCTTGCAACATCTATGAAGTGAAGTTCATTATGAAATTAGTGACTACCTTATTAACATATGCCTAACAGGTGCACAGAGGTTTTAGCAAGCAGAGAACATTATACACGGTATTAGTTGTTTAAAAAAATTATTGTGTCCAATAAACAAATTATGGAATTAAAACGTTTTGTTTTGTTATTTTTTAAAATCCATTAATTAAATTGTCCTTAGGTAAAAAATATAATAATTTCTAATCAATTTTGATGCAATTTTAATAAAAAATAAAATGAAAATGCTATGGAAAGTAAATACTACAAAATTGGCAATATCCCTATTCATTTTTGAGTAGTTTACTAACATTGATTGTGAAAGACGAAATATGGTACACTTTTTTGTTTGTAAAAGTTATATGTCCTGATTTATGCTGATTGAGCTTGATTCTTCATTTTTGCCCATCCGTTTATCTTATTATAAGTCTTTTGAAGGGTTTAGGTTGATGGTCAGTCCTACTGATATCACCGCTGTGTCACCTGCAATCATTGCAATTTTTACTCCATCAATTTTCGGAAAATCATTGGTGTAGAACAAGTAAAGCAGTGGACCCAATAAGCTACCTTGTGGACTCTTGCATTTGTTGTTTTTAATTCTGAATATTGATTTTCTTGTTTGACTCTAAAATATCTGTCAGTTAGGTAGAAACTAATATCTGCATACTGCATTGGTAGCATCCGTTTTAATTTACTGATGAATCCTTTATGCCATCTTTTTTGTCTGCAGGGTCTATTAATTGTTGCCATCTTTTCCAAGCCTTTCTTTTCTGATCCTTCCGATTCACCAGTGCTTTAATTTTCTTGGAATAGTTGAAGGATGATGAAGAAATGATTACTTGATAATTGGTACACGACAATTAAAAATATATTATATAACTTTTTTGACAAAATATAAATGTGTAATATTCAGTGACTGTTAATCAATGATTATTTAAAGTTAGTGAGATGCGATCTGGTGTGATGCAGGTTTTTTCTTTATCGTGCAAACGTTTCGATCTTTATTGAGACCATCTTCAGTGGGATTTATAAACATTGTTTTAATTTTACTAATACGTATATGATATTGTATAAATTTATATTAATATCTTATACGTATTATATAATTGAAACTATGTTTATAAATCTCCGACTCTGAAGATGATATCAAAAAAGACCGAAACGTGGGCAAGACAAAGAAAATGTTTTTCTAATCTACATAACACCAGACCGCATTTCACGATCTTTAAATTAACCAAATGTAAACTTTATCGCGTAATATTAATAAGAAGAAGAGCATATTTTATGATATTTCCTCATTTTGCACAGTCCAAAAGTGACACTCATTGAAAAAAAAAACATCAAACAAAGTAACGTAAAATGTTGGTACCTGCCTATTTATAATACTATCAATAGGTGCTGTTAGAATAAGCTAAAGTCAATTAATTTAATAATTATTTGATTATCAAGACTTGAATTATGCTTTATAATGCAAATTGTAATTATTCTAAGCTATTTCTTGTGTGGCTATATTCACTTCATTATTTATTATGTCTTATAAAACAGAAATAATTCATTCTGCTTATTGCTTCTTTGAGTTTCCTCGGTGTATATTATTAAAGGATCGGTTATTCTTAGTTCGTTTATGAGTCAGAACTGTTATATCCTGTAAAGATTTACAGTAAAGGTGGGTAATGTCGTATTCATTACAGATTATGTAAAACTTCTTTGTGTTAAGAAATATAAAGTACAAAATATTACAAACTCACCTATCGTTAACTAGCAAGTCCTTGGCGAAAAACTGGCCAATTATGTTTCTATGGTTATTTAATCGGTAATTTATGGCGGTCGTAAAGTTTTCTCGCAACATTCTAAGCTTCCGGTTATTTTATTATTTTCCTTGATTAGATAGACATTGTACTGTGTATTTACGTTAACGAGCCGTTTGTTTTTTGTTTTGTTTTTTCAGCACCGGTGACTATGCCGACAGCTTGCGGAGGCGGAAAATCCACCGGTGCGACGTACCTGGTTGTGATAAAGTCTACACGAAGAGCTCCCACCTCAAAGCCCACAAAAGAACTCACACAGGTATGTAAAATTTAACTTAAATCCTATCATCCCTGAACTTTTTCATCCGTCTGATGATCAAATTGCATTAAATGATAGTGAAAACAATTAGTCGTCCCCAATATTTCTAAAATGAACTAACATAGTGAAAAAATATCGTGGGTTTTGGGTTTATTTACCTATTATTTTTTTAATTAGTTTTAATTCAAATTTCTATAACCATTATAATCTGATGATAGTGATATTTATCAACACATACTTGACCTTTCCTTTTCATCAATGCCGGCTATTTATTAGCGTAATTTTGATATATTTGGTCTTTTCCCTGGCAATAAGTCATTGGGTAGTCATTGCCAGTCACAAGTTTTGTTTTCAAATTAAGATTCTGTTTTATCATGTGACAAGGAGGCTGATTGAAATCTAAATACTGAGCTGAATAGCGCCGATTGTAATGCATGATCCATTTTTCTATATATCTGTCTTCTAGTTTGCAGACGTGCCTTAAGTTCTCTGCCTGACGGAGATTTTTTTCCAGTCTCTTATGTTAAATATGCTGGCTTCTGTAAGGGTATCTATAAGCTTTCGATCAAATTTTGTGAGTTTATTGGGAATAATAACCATTAAACCAATGTTTTATTAAAGCAAATAAAAAGACAAAATTTCTTGATATCTGTTTGGTGGATATTATTTGTTTTTTTATCAAATCCAAAGTTAAATAAAAAAGCGAAGCTACTTAATTATCGGTTTGGTGGAAATTGTTTGATAAAATTCAATTTTACCGTGTTTTGCTCACTTTTTTAAAAATTCTTAATTCGATCTAGCTTTTCTTCTTCCTTTATTTTTTATTATTATTTATTAATTATTTTTTATTAAAGCCAATGAAAATAAAAAGTCAGAGATTGCTAGATTATCTTTTGTACTGATATCGTTTCATGAATTTGAATTTTACCTACTTTGAATACTTTTTGAAGCTTCCTAACTGAAACTAGATTTAATTGTATTTCTTTTTCGTGTGAATAACTAATTGTATTTATCCTAAATTAAAAGGTACAAATTAAAAAGTGCAATTGCTAGATTATCTGGTTTTAATGGGTCTTATTAAAAATGATTATAAATCTTTTGATGATTACACATTATTCTACTTTGACCACCTTTTTGATTCTTTCTTTCTCAATTTGACTTGTTTCTTCCTTCCTGACTTTTGTGTTCATTTCCATTATTAGCATAAATTAGATTAAATTCCTAATATTTTCAACAAAAAGTAAATATTATTGTAATATAAATATGAATAAATTAACATTAAGAAATACAACAATGAAACATCAGTACATATAAAATATTCAGACTGTGATATCACATGACATTATAAACTTTAAAAAGCTCTGGTATATGTCTCCTGCTAGTAATGCATAATTGTATGTTTAACCGATGCTCTATTGATGACTTTGCGATGGCTTGATACATCCTCGCCTCTGAGGCATGTATTCTTCGCAGAGCAGCAATGTTCCTCAGATCTTCAACTCCATCGAATGTCATTCAATTTGCGGTTGGTCTCAGCTTTATTTTGTGAAGGTAAGCCCCCACAAATACCGTGCCCGGTTATAGTAATACAAAATCTTATTGTTTTCCACCTTCAGCAAACCACAACTTATTTTTAAGAACAAGGAAGAGGATTAGTGTTATGTTTATTAGTTAAGTTGAATTGTTTATTAGTTTTATTATGTTTATTAGTGTTATGTTTACCTACTTCGGATGTCTTATAGGCAGATTTCTATTTGCTTATGACCTTATGGTTGGCATAATTTTTATAATCGCCTTTGTGAGGTTGGATACGGTTGGTAAGTGCTGCCTAACGTTGCGTACTTCGCCTGGTTATCTACTGCCTCATTATACAGTACTCCTGAGTTACCTCTCACCATTTTTTTTTTTTTTTTTTTTTGAGAAACTGTGCATTTTCTTAATAACCTCAATTAGGAGGTATTTACATGTTGTGTTTATTATAAAGCTTTGTAGTTAGTGTATGACATGTGTAAATATCATAATTGCATCATAAATTAACCCCAAAGTCGAAGTGTTGTTCTTCTTGGCCGGGGGAAGCTTCCTGCGTCAATTCTTAATATCACCTCGTAAAATTTATTTAAAAACAATTAAAATTTCCATGATGCAAGTCTTAATGGTACTTCGAACAACTTTACACCCGGGAAATCTGCGGAATTGGTCTGCAGGTGCAGTTTTAGCTGTAAACGGGGTCTAAAAATACACATTGCACCGTTATTTCCATCCTGCTTTACTCTCGGCCGCCTTGCTGTTTGCAGAACGTAAATCTCCGAAGTGTTTTATATTTACCGTCTCCCTCTGGCACTTTGATCTTTTAATTGAAGTTAAAAGGCGCTGATTATTTGAGACATTATAAATTCTTCTGCTCGCCATTTAAGTTGGCGATCTGATTTTTCAAGGTTAAAATTTGCTAAAACTTTAAAAACTTTTTGTAATGTTTAATCAAATCCACTTAAAATTTTAAAAACACTCATTGTGCTATGCAGAATCTTTATACAATCTCAACAAACGGTTCAAATGATCAAATATGCGTTTCAGTAGATTTTTTAAATTGATTCACATTCACGCTTAGGTTAGTTGTTTCAATAGGTTGTTTTTTATTTATCCCGCTTCATAATAAGAGGTACTGAAAAATAAAAGATTAAACAAAATTGCCGTTACTCTGAATAAGTTAATGATCACTCTCCCAATGTTTTAGCAACGCGTAAAGGCCATATTAAAGTTCTAAATGTGTTGATATACCGACTAAATATAGAGGGCATCAGAAGATCCTTCGGGATCATCCTCCAATAATTAACACGAAAAGATTTACAATAATTACAGGTCTAACTTCTCGCGTACAGTTAAATGGTCCATATTTTGCAAGAGATGGCTCTATAACCTCACTATCGCTCGGCCTCTTAAGACAGTAATTTTTGAAAATTATACACCCTGACGCTTTTAGCACTTTTTTAACACTGGATACAGTTTTACCAAGGAGATGAGACGCCATCGCCCTCGCCATATCAGCTTGATCTTTGCTTCCTCCTCTTCAAATTTGTATTACACGTTTGTATTATGTTTATTGGTTCATCAACCTTCATGTTGTTTTCAGCTTAACTTAATTTCCAATCTTAGTCCAACTGCTCACCTAATATTTGACAATCTTTTTAAAATGATAGTTCCTACTCACAGTTAGTTGTTTTCAAAGATCCAGATTTCAAGCTTATAGCTCATCACCAGGTTGAAGGAATTACAAGCTCATGATGAGTTATCTAGCTAGCTTGAAATCCGGATCATTGAAAATAATTAACTGTGAGGAGGAACTATCTTTTTCAAAAGATAGTGAAATATTAGGTGAAAAATGATTATAAATCGTTTGATGATTGAACATTATTCTGCTTTGACCACCTTTTTGGTGCTTTCTTTCTCAATTTGACTCGTTTCTTTCTTCCTGACTTTTGAGATCACTTCCATTATTAGCAAATGAAACGCGTCTAGTTAGCCAAAGCCTAGAATTAAAATAGTTTACAAAATAGCACACTTGCTCACTTCATTACGTTAACAGAACCGAGATCGTGTCAATTTTCCTATAAATTCCGAAATACTCACTTTTTTTCTTAAATTGTTTTATTGCCCATAGTCGATTAGATTAAATTCCTAACATTTTCGACAAATAATAAATATTATTGTAATATAAATAACATAAATAGATATGAATAAATTAACATTAAGAAATGCAAACAATGAAACATCAGTACACATTAATAAAAAAATATTCACACTGTGATATCACAAACAAAAGTTCTCTTTGATACTTCAAATTGATTCCCTGTATCAATCTTTATGAAAGCCTGTCCGTGTAAAAGAAACTGAAACTGAACAAAACTGTGATATCAAAAAAAAAAAAAAAAAAAAAAAAAAAAGCTCTCGTAAATGTCACCATCTCCTGGTAGTAAAGCATAATTGTAAGTTTAACGGATGATCTATTGAAGACTGCGATTGCTTCGCAGAGAAGCATAACGTGCCGCAACCTTTACCACCTTTAACTCCATCGAATGTCATACAATTAGCGATCGGTCTAAGCTTTTTTTGTGGAGATAGACCTCACATATACCGTGCCGGGTTATAGTAACATAAAATCTTTTTGTTTTCCCATCTTCACGGGGAATTTTTAGAACAATACGTGATTGGACAACACTCCTCCATTTATCATTCTTGACAATGTTCTCCCTAAAACCATTCTCAAACAATCTTACTTCTTCCTTGTTAACATCAATTTTGAAATTGTCATGACCAAAAGGTACACAACCCGTTCAGCTTGGCAGTGCATTGTGAACAAATTTCGCCCTAGGACCCCTCGATCATTACCTGCACTCATGAAAATACTCATCAAGCTTCAATAAATAACGATACGGACACGGATGATTGTGGATCGGGCGTGGTCCACGTTTTTTTTAATAGATAATAAATGTATGGAAGGGGATGATTATATAAGTTCAAATAACAGAATTTGGTTGTGTCGCATAATCGAAAAAGAAATGTGTACCAAATTCGTTAATTGGATCTAGAGTCTAAGTTCCAGTTCCTGAAAGTTATTTACAAAGCAATAACTCATTTCGAAAAAAATCATATCAGTCTGTGTTATAGTCGCGATAAATAATAAAACAGCGTGGAGTATGGAAGAGTGTTAACTAGAGGGATGGAGGGAGATGTTACAATGTTTATGTTACAATTTCTGTGTGTTCTGACTTTTCAGATCGTAAGTAAGCAATTAATCAAAAATTTTGAATTAGCGACGACGCGTACGTTTCACTTTCTGAGCTATAATTTGAAAAGCCATTTATGATCAAAAGACGAAAACTTATTGGAAGCAGAACAGGTGGGTGATTAATCAGAAAAACGGCCGTTTCTTCAACTTGACGGAAACATTTGGACCTCGTTAAGACAGCCGAGTTCGGAACTGGATTGTGAAACCTTCAGTC